GGCATAGCCATTGTGATCTGAAAGCTAACATTGCTTTAAGAACTACAGCAAAGCATGTTAAAATAGTTAACATGTATGTTTTAACATCTCCAGATTTTATTAGGTGTTCTTTATACAGTCATCTGGTCTGTTTAAAGACTGAGAAATAGCATAAAGGGAAACACAACTACAAGTGACTGAAGTAATAAAAACCCAAAACTAAACAGCATCTCATAATTCATTTTACATAGTATATATTAGATTTCATTACAACAATACATGACTTAGTAGTCGATTCTCCTGTGGGCCATAAACTTTTAAAGGTGCTGTCATGATTTTTTTTTTAAGTGTCCTGATAGCTGAAGGATAGCCTTGAAAACTGACGCCACACCCCCACCTAGTGCCAAGGCGAGAAATTCATCCGGCAAGCAGCAGTGATGAAATTCGAACAAAACGATCAGTGCATTTTACCCTGTATTTCTCCAAGGACCTCAAAGAGCCACATATGGCTCTTGCTTTGTTTTATCTCTGCAGCAACCCTGGGAGGTGGGTTATGCTGAGGGGGAGTAGATTGCCCCAAGGTCACTCGGAGAGCTTCACAGCAGAGAGAGGATCTGGAACCCGAGTCTGACACTCAAACCATTACAGCCTCTGCCAACAATACAGCATCTGCCACTATTGCTATTCTAAAATATTTCCAAAGCAACTTTTCTCCCAAACCAGTTGGTACCCAAGGCGGGGGATAAGGAAGATAAATATATTTATTTATTCCGTTTATTTATTCCATTTATACCCCGCCCTCCCCGTGAACAGGCTCGGGGAAGGTTACATTTATCAGTACCTAGTACCCATACAAAAGTTAAAACATTTTTAAAAATTTAAACAATCAAATAATCAAAGTGCTAGTGATAGTCATCGTGATCTTTTCTGGGAGCTCATTCCACCAGTATGGAGCTACCACTGAAAAGGCCCTGGCCCTGGCAGCAGCGAGCCTGGCATCCTTAGGGCCTGGGATGGTTAGTCGATGTTGTGACCCCAACCATAGTGCTCTCTGAGGTATATATGGGGAAAGGCGGTCCCTCAGGTATGTCGGACCCTGGCCATATAGGCTTTAAAGGTAAGTACCAGCACCTTGAAGTGGATTTGGTACGCTATTGGCAGCCAGTGCAATGCCTTCAGCGCAGGCTGGATGTGCTCCCATTTAGGAAGGTCACTCAGGAGCCTGGCCACAGCATTCTGCACTAACTGCAGCTTCCAGATCTGCCAGAAGGGCAGCCCCATGTAAAGAGTGTTACAGTAGTCTAGTCTCAAGGTGACCATCGCATGGATCACTGTAGCCAGGTCATCGCAGCCAAGGAAGAAAATCAACTGCCGAATCAGCCGAAGATGGTAAAAAGCAGACTTAGCAGTGGCTGCTACCTGGACACTCCCAGACTCCTAACTTCCAGCGCTGGCACCAATGGTGCCCCACCAAAGGCCAGGAGTGGGATCCCTACCCCCAAACCGTCCCAACTCAGGCACAGGACCTCCATCTTCGCTGGGTTCAGCTTCAGCCGGCTCAGTTTGAGCCAACCAGCCATGGCTTGCAATGCCCAGTCCAGATCTTCCGGTCTGGAGTCCGACTGGCCGCCCAACATCAGATAGAGCTGGGTGTCATCAGTGTACTGGTGGCACCGCAGCCCATGCCTCCAGGCAATCTGGGCAAGGGAGCACATGTAGATGTTAAATAACATTGGAGACAGCACTGCCCCCTTGAGGCACACCACACTCCGGTGGGTGTCTCCTGGACTGCTGGTCCCCTAACACCACCCTTTGTCCCCGACCCTGGAGAAAGAAAGCAAGCCATTGTAAGGCAAGCCCCTGGATTCCCATGTCAGTGAGGCAGTGGGTCAGCAACTGATGGTCGACCGTGTCAAATGTGGCCGACAGATCTAACAGCACCCTGGGAAATGTCCCTCACTCTGCTTGTGAATGGAAGAAGTCTAAAAAAGCCTACAAAAATTCTAAATAATTTCAGAGGGGTAGATTCTCCCCAGAATATAAAGTCAGGGCCAACAGTTGTGTGCAACCCAAAGGTTGCGTACTTCATGCATCTGAAGAGAGCCCTGACTGGCATAGCTCAAGGTGGCACGTGTAATTCTCCCTTCTTCCACTTCAGACCCCTGACAACTCCATGGTGAAGAATAGGCTGAGACCGTGATTGGCCCAAGGTCACTCAGTTGACTTCATGGCTGAGCAGAGGGCTTGAAGCCAAATTTCCAGAGACCTAGCCTGACACTCTGACTACTACTCAACAATGATTTCTACATAGGTATCAACAGTGGGAATGTGGCAAATCTGCTTGGGACCTGCACAAATTCTAAGTGTTATACTGGTATATATGTTGTAGGGCCAAACCATTCCACAGCAATGTTTGTAATCCTTGCATATGCCGGTGGAACAGATTTTTAAAGCTAACAGTTGGTCTTGAGAGAAATCGGTTCCAGTCGTACAAAAGCAGTGGTCTCCCAAGAAACCCCATCAGGCATCCAAACAAGCAAGAAGCGAATTAATGGGCTAAGTACTGAGCACAGGGTAGATTCTCACCATTCTCTCCCTCCTCCTTCCATTTCCACCTGAGGAGATGATTTAATATGAGTTGTTTGCTGAGAATTTTGATAAGTACGGAGATAAGAAGAAAGCGTTTAAACAATTAGCATGATTTCAGAACCTCACTAAACATTGTTACCCGCAGTCGAATCTCATTTCTAGTGATGCATGTACTTATAGCCTATCCCTGCGGCAGGGTAATTTGCAAAGCAACGTAGGATTTCCAAACCTGCAAGCTAAGATTAACTGGCCACAACTCCTTCACCCATTCAGATCTGCCCCACTTAATAGAATAGCAGTAGCAGGCAACCCTCGGGAATGCCACTGACCACAAAAACAAGAAATTAAAGCTCAGTGTTACTTTCAGTAGATGCAGCAATGGGAAGGTTGAGAATCTGCTTCAACTAGAGTAGCAAGGGTGGCTAAGTGCATGAAGCTACAGCTGCTCCATCGGATGAAGCCTCAAGGAAAAAGGGGCTTGACACTTCTTTACAAGAGTCCCAAAGGCCAAAATCAATTAGTGGCAAATGTGTTTTAAAGCAAGATCTTCCCCCACTCACATACAAAGAGGACTAAAAGGAAAAATGAACATGCCTGTATGGGCAGCTGAACTTTACCTTCTCTCATGTCACTGCCGGCATCTTTCTCCCAGCCAGGCACCAAGCTTGGCAGGGGAGGGAGTCTGGGTGGCTCATTTTGGAGAGAAGGTGTGATTATACACCCATCCAGACATGCCCTTTTTGACTATTTATGCCAGTCCCCCCACCTCTTCCTGATCTAGCCACCTGTGAATCTCTGTAGGCTGTCACCACGTTCTGAAACTCTTCTGGCAATTCCCTCATTCAATTAAATGTTCTTAGACTTGAGAAATACAGAGCTAATTCACAAAAAAATGAGGCTGTAAGACCTGACGAAGGCACACAGAAATGGGATTCTTATTACCACCACCACCTGTAGTCTTGCAAGCTTCATGTTGTGAACCTGACATTTGTTTACAACTCTTTAATCTCTTGAAATATTGTGTGTGTTTAGTTTTGTTCATATCATTTAAGTTTGTGCAAATATTGTACAACTGACACAATATAAATATTGTTTATATAATTTATATGTTTATTTCAATTTATTGTACACAGTGCTTTAGTATTACGATATATTTATGAGCAGCACCTATAGTTGAATACATAACTGACATAACCAACATTAGTAGATATTCTCCTTCAGTCCAAGACTGTTTCCTTTTACCTCAGGAGCTGTGGGTAAAAGTTGTGTGTGTGTGTGTATGAATGATATGCATGCTAGACTGTAAAAGGTTTACTTAAGGGCTACTTTAGCCCCCCCTCCCCATCCCAAGTTTCTTTGAACCGGTAAGAGCAGAAGGGCTACTATACCTATGGTTTCAGCAAAATATAAGACAAAGGGGATATTTAAAGAGGATTACTGGTGGGGAATAAACCCTCCTACCCCAAAACTGCTCCCAAAGCAGTTTCAGGGAGATTTCAGCTGCTTCTCCCCCAGAATTTATAGGACATACTATGAGCCAAGTTAGCTGCTGCTGCCTGCCCCCCGTATAGATTCACCCACCTGGAACCACTGCCTAGGCTACTGTACTCTGATATTTGGGAAGGCAACAGGTGCCCCCAGTCAAAGTAGTTCCCTTGCAAAGACTTTCTGAATGAATCTTTCACTACACAGCAATAAACTGTTTTAGAATTCAAAATACCTTGGGGAAAAGAGGCAGTGAGCTTAGCTCAGAAAGGTTCTGGAAAAGTAAATGTACAAGAGCAAAAAAGCAACATGCTGAAGTAAAAGACAAAAATTAAAGAAGTGCCCCCAGACTATTTGCCTGGAGAGTTCGACTCTTCCATTTTGTGCTCTTGTGCATTTGCTCAGCCAGTACTTTCCTACACCACACGAGATCTCTCCTTTGCAGCATACTGTACATTGGATCACATTGGCTAGTCCAGGGGGCCAAGACAACCTTGATTTTCTCCCAGTTCTGATTTTGCAGACAGAAGGCAGTTTACAATCCCATTAATTCCTGAAATGTTGCCTTCTGAAATGTTGCCTTCTGGACTATTAACATAGGTTTATCCAGTTCATGCATACTTTTCTTCTTGGGAGACCTATTTGGCCACTTTTAAAAAATTAATATGATGAAAAGAGTAGGTGGGTGTTACAACGGATCAGTTTACATCCAATCCATGAAACACACAGCCTTTTTTTTCATTGTGCTCAACCTCTTTTCCTTGTGATCATAAGAGCCACCTCTTGTGAAGGTTGAATAATCATACTAAATATGCCTGAACAGTTCTCATGGAAGGAGCTCTCTACACAGGTTGAACACACCAGGGTCAACTTGTGTGTTATAGAAAAGCAGGGAAACCAGAAGCACGGGCAGCTTGTCCACTGCCAGATTCCAATATAACACATGAAACGAGACTGATTTATTCTGCTCTTGGGCAGAGCGTAGAGCTCAAGGGCCATCTGCAACTCAGTGATTATATTCTGGCCCCTTGCCCATTTGGGCATTACCAGCAACTGAGGACAGGTTCTGATTTCCCCACTTCCTGCTAGCATGAGCCAAAAGAAGACAAATGTCCCCCTTTAGACTGTAGATAAAGCATTTCAACTATGTAACACCACAAATGACAGGCACTACCAATCAGATAAGTATCCTTTAGGGACCACATTTTAACATTTTACTACCCAATTAAAAACCTTTACACTCAGAAATAAGTTCTCTTGCTTGCCATGGGACATTACTCCCAAGTTTACTCAGGACTGTAGGGCTTTAGTCATTCAGCAAATAAATCCAAGTGACTAATTTGGGTTAAATGAGGCAATTTTATTTCAAGATTGGCAGGAAACACAAACATTCCAAAAGGGTCTATTAATGTGCCATTCCATTTGTTTGGGTAGACACGACGGGTTACACAACCCGTCTAGGGCTGCTGCTGATTGCTGAAGTCTGCGCCTGCATCCCCATCTCCAGAGACAAGAGGTGATGATGGATGTGCGCAGTCACAGTGCAGATGGGCATCCCTTGTAAAGAAGGGAGCCCGAAGAGCAGGAACAAGAACAGCAAACTGTTGCTTATCTACCCTCCCAGCTGCAGGAAACAGCTGTATTATGACAAAAAGAATTACTCAAACAGCTGGAATGAAGATTACAGATTACCCCGCAAGCATGCAATGTAGCCGAAAAGGACTTGAACCAATTCCTTGCAATTTAGGAGAAAGGATTCCAAGCTGGTTTAGTAATGTTTCAGTTGGATGAACAAAATCTTGAGTGATCATAACGTTATGTGAGACTTCTCAGCACCCAGATATTTAAAGAGAATTCTTCCAGAACTTTAGGGAAGCATTTGCACAAGAAAGTTACAATCAGTTACTTCTTTCCCCATGCCTCCTTTTCAAGTCTTTCACGAACGACTTCTTTCAGGTATGGTTCCAGATAATAATTCTCCTGGAATGGGGTGAAAAACAAAGAAGAAGCTGAGCTGGAAAGTGCGAGCCTTTTTCAGAGCAGCACTGGCAGTCACATGGCCACACCAAGACTGCTCAGTTTTAAACAGAAAACACTGGTACCCAAGGTGAAATACTTAACTCAGAATAAGCTGCATTGTGTTCCCCCAAGATTTCTCTCTACCACAAAATTATCAGAGTATCTTCAGCACATTTGTGTGATCCTCTCACCAGTAATTCTGGCCTAATAACTGATCTTATTAGGTTGTGAATTTTCTACCACAAATTAATTCCTGAAATCATCAGTGAAAAATTTAGGATTACATTTAAAATGACCGCCCCCCCCAAAACACACACACACACAGCATATTGCCTTTTGCTCTTGTGCATTTGCTCTGCCAGTACCTTTGAATAATACACTCCTGCCTGGAGTTCTGCTTATTTTGGCAAGTGTCTGACAGAATACTGAGAGCTAAGGTAGCTTTCAAATACACTATTCCAGATCTTCTGTCTCTTAAGGATTAATAAAACTACGTTTAGAGGGAAAGCCATTCATACCTAAAGGCTGTTTCACCACAACTGTTTTACCAACATAGATTTTACAGCATGTTCTTAACACAGAGGAAGTTAATATGGTAAACCATACTCCCAACCAAAACAAAGAAAGAGAGAAGACTGTACAGGAAACTGGTTTCTGTGGCCAGGATGTTCCAACCAGCCGTCCTGAGCCCATTCGTGGGGAGGGCGGGGTAGAAATTTAAATAAATAAATAAAACCATACATACATGCAGTAAGTAGCAAATGCAACCAGGGCAGCTGTATGCAGTACAAGCTCACTTCCCACCCTAACCCACTGGCAGAGTGTGCACTCAGAGAACCTCTGCCCAGATGTGCAGGCGGATGCAGCACAGGTATTGCATTCTTATTTCCCAATTATTTGTCTGCTGCAGAAAAGGTGCCCTACATGAACTTCTATCACCAGTCTTGAGCATCAGAGAAGTTTGAGTTTTAGGCCCTGGAGTAATCAGTGGAATTCTGCTTTTATAACCATTCATCACCTTCGTTGGCTGGCAAAGGTTAAGTATGGATAAAACACTTCAGTTGGTTTACTATAAAGCTTCATTTAAAAAAAAACAAATCCCTGTATCAACAGTCTCATACCTCTTCGTATTTTCCCCACTGTTCTTTGGGAAGAATTTGTTGCCTCATGGACAAATCTAGTGCTCTCTTGATACGAAATAATCTCGCATTATACACATCTTCGGGAAGCCTCTTTAGTGCTTCCTTCACATCATCATCCTCATAGATTGTATCATCTCTCATTAGACCTGCAACAGCAAGATGTTTCTCACAGTAACAAAACTACCAGCCAAACTTCAGCAAAGCTGAGGAAAGTCAGAGTTTTAGAATAAGCTTTGACAAGTTTTCTTTGGTTCTAGGAGCCATACTAATTTTTCAGCCTTTAGGGTTTCGTATTTTAACACCCAATTTTTCTACTTATCAGTACTACAAAGCCCAGTCCTAACTGCTTCACAGCTTCTCATCATTTTATTACAGCATATAAATAGTAGTGTATCTACGTACCCTTATATAGTAGTATATAAGGCTACATATATACACTACTATTTATATACTGTAATAAATGTTCTGTAGATGAGCATGAAGTTCTTGTAATTGCTTGTTTTATAGGTAAACTTAACTTTACGCGGTTGCAGGTTCCAGGATTCAAAGCACAACTTTTTTGGTGGCCAAAGGGAATTGTGTCCTCCTATTCTTCACAAGTGGAAAAACTGATCAGATCCACCACTTTGTACATCTCTGAGAATCGCTGACAGATGCTACAAAAACTTGATTGCTGAAAATACTAGGTGCCATGGTTACCTGGCACCTGGGAATGATCAAGCTCTGTTTGAGAGAATGTCAAAGTTCAATTTATATCATCCACTTTATAAGTTGCTGCATTAATAAAAGTGTCTAGAAACATAAGCTTTGGATCATTGTTCGTAGCAGTTCACTACAAAAAACCTATTCATTCAGACCTGAACACACATCCAAAGGTACCCTTACTTTTAAGTTAACATGTCTAGGACTCCAGCCTGGCTTCTCCATCCAACAGTAGCTTCTGAGGGAGCCTTTGACTCTCATTGTAGAGCAGCTGCACTTGTGGAGATGAGGTCTATCCCAAGTGGTTGAAGGAGCATCACCATTTATTTGTCCTTAAGATTGCAATACTATGTGAAACAGCAAGTACAATCTAGCTATCTTCCCACCATAGAGAACAATGGAGGGGATAGGGGCAACCTGTTTGGGGCCCCGTAGAATCGGACCCCCTGGTCCAATGTTCTTCAAACTTGGTTGGTATCTTGGGGAGAAGCTCCAGCAGCTACCCTGAGAGTTTGAAGCCTCTCCTCCCCTCCAGCCCCCAGAATATACCCTGTGTTTTCACCATTGACTTCAATGGCCCATAGGATATAATGGGGCCGAATTGCCGCTGAAATTCGGCAGCAAGCCAATTCAGATCAGAGAATCTGAATCGGCCTGCAGATGAACCGAATGCACATCCCTAGTTAAGACCTCTAATTTCACCATAAATTTGTAGAGTCCCCCACTCCCAAGTTCTAGGTTGGCAGCCTTATCTTTCTAATGATTTTGGGTAACAATTTATTTCTAAAACATACATATTATATGATTGCAAATATTGCAATACACCATAGTGCAAAACTTCAGCATCATAAGCATTTAAGTCGAAATTTACTTAACACCAAATTACCTTTGCAAAGTCTTCAAATGCCCACTTGCCGAATTACCTACAGACCTGTTTTAGTCCTTTGTAACTTACAGCAGGAACAGCTAATTCTTTGTCAGGCCCCACTATTTTGTCCAAACAATGGATTTGTCCAAACTACGGTTTGTAAGTGCCTTTTCCAAACAATTTCATTTGAGTCGTAAGACTCCATAATAAAGCTGGCACAACCCAATGGTAAAGGTTATGGAATGTCTGGCTGAGGCATAATCAGGAAATAACAAAAACAGTTACATTTAAATCAATTCCTGAACATTTCAGACTTTTATTACTATATCCTGGTCAATATTTGGTATGGGAAATGGGTAGCAAGGCAGCAAACTGTTTCGGAGAATGAATACCTCCACTGCAGGCCACCAATAGTCAATTCCTTTCCCTAAAAGGAAAGTACCAATTTCTGTATATTTGTATCTGTATGTTTGGCTACCTAGAAAATTCCTGCTCGCTACAGCTAACCCTAACAGAGCATTTATAGACTGGCCAAAGGGCAAAACGACTGAGCTATTCACCAATAGATTTGCTCAAACTCCTTCAGCTAAAGTCAGCGGGACTTAGAATTGCTTAATTTTGGCTGGTTCAGACCTTATATTTCTACTTCATTATGACTTCAATAATATAAAAAAGAAAACAAAGGCCACAATGGCAATCAATATTCACAAGACCTCTAAAAGGGAAATTACACTTCAATAGTCATTACAGGTCATTATATCATCACATTCTTAGCTTCAACTGACAGACGCCATTTTTCTACAGGTTCTCTCTCAACTATCCATTAACTTATCTGTAAAATGAAGACACCCACCAAGCTTATTGAATCCGGCAGCATTGTAGTACCACTTGCGGAGACCTTGAAGCAGACGCCCACCAGCTGCAGCTGAAAGTGACAATCACCACTATTAGTTCAAGAGAAGAACAAGGTCTGGTACAAGCATTTCTCCAGACACTAACCTACAAGTATTTTAATGTGTATTTCCTTTTGCCCATATAGATATGCAACATTTCTAACTGTTAGAGAGTACATGACCAAGTACATGGCTGCTAATCAATTGTTTGTAGTTTACAATTTCTTTTGAGAGAAGGATGATCAATCCCACACATTCTGAGCCATTACGAAAAGTAATTGGGCAAGGAGAGAACAAACAAAAGCTGAACTCTAATTACCACTAAAGTAAAGTTATCCAATGCATTTTTGAACTGGTGACTTTAAAACTTAAAGGCCTTCTAGCTATATTTGTTCAGTTCATCACTCTATTTAAGCAGCCTTCAAAACCTAGTTTCAGCTGACATTTTTATATAAAAGAATCTAGTAGATAAGAGTTACACTTGTACATTCTTACTAATACACAGCCCACACTATCACATATACCATAAAACACTCTTTAAGTGTTATTTAAAAGCTGTTGACTATTAAGGTAGCAGTCCTACGCAAACCTATGAGGGAATAAGCCTCACTGGACACAGCAAGATGGACTTCCAAGTAAACATGCACAGAATAGTTCTGTTGGACACATTCATTAAACAGAACAACAAAAACAGAGGAGAGACTGATGTAGGCTAGGATCTCTGATTGAGGAGAAAGATGCAATTAAAATGAAGTAAATAAAGAACCTAGCGATGTCGTTAAAAATACCAGGCTTACTATGGATTATGCTTTCATGGACCAGAGTCCACGTCATCATTTGACCCACAACAGTTTAGTCGTTAAGGTGTCACAATGCTCTTTCTGTGCAATTCTGTATCAGATTAACTTGATTAAGGTTTCCCTTGCTTGAAAGCCAGTCGAATCCGACTCTAGGGTTGCGGTGCTCATCTCAGTTTCCAAGCCGAAGAGCCAGCGCTGTTCAAAGACATTTCCGTGGTCATGTGGCCGGCATGATTAGACGCCGAGGCACACGGAACGCTGTTACCTTCCCACCAAAGTGGTACCTATTTATCAACTTGCAATTTCTTGCTTTCGAACTGCTAGGTTGGCAGGAGCTGGAACTAGAGACAGGAGCTCACTCCATCATGCAGCACTCGGGTCTCGAACTGCTGAACTACCGACCTTCCAGTCTGCAGTTCAGCGTCTTAACCACTTGAGCCACCACAGCCTCTCTGTTAACTTGATTAGCCTTCTGGAATTGAAGCAAACAGTAAGAGAACACTTTTTTAAGGGCCACAAATTCTACCTATTTCTAAAAAAGAATCTGAATTGGTCTCAAATGCCCATAAACAAAAATATGTATATTACACATTAAGCTTTTTCTCCACTAAATTTTTAGATGAGTGGAAAGGATTTTTCCACACAGTGAGCTATGTACTGGACAAATTTGTAATGAATGGAAAGGATTTTTCCACACAGTGAGCTATGTACTGGGCACATTAAGCAGCTTTTAAAGAGGCATCTAGTTAAAAGTATCGACAGGATCAATATGTATTTACCTACACTTTTTTCACAAGATCACCCAAATAGGTCAGCATATAAAGTTTACTAGCATTTTGACAAAAGCAACTTTTCATAACTATCGTTTATTGCTATCTCAGAGATCTGTCTGCAGCTCTGTTTCCTTACCCAGCTTCGTTTAAGGGAAGCAAGAAGGACATAATTAAACTCCTAAAGCATGTTTTATATTTACAAAGCATCATTCAAAATTCAACTCAATCCTATGTCTATTGACTACAAGTCAGTCAAACTGAGTTCAAGGTGACTTATTCCCAAGTGAGTGTGAATTGGACTGCTGGCAAAATCTTTGGGGACAGAAATGTGTGTGCAACTTACATCAGGCCAGGAGACTAGAGTGGGCTATAAACATGAAAATTAGTTTCCCTAGATGCAGGCACCACAAGAAGAAAAGTTTCATCTATTTAACAACTACAAAACCATCAGAAATACAAAGAATAGAAAGCCTACCATAAAAGGAGGGATGGGATGGCCGTCTTAATGGCTGGGCCAGGTCATGTATTGTCATAAAATGTAATGCCAGGTAGCAGAGATATAAACTTTATAAAGGGCACAAACGCAATTAAAGATTTTTAAACTTTAAATAAAACATGCTTAAAATACTAGCTTCTTGCAATATTTTGCCTATTTAACAGTCTTTGATGACTGACACCTCTGCTCTGAATTATTGTATCAAAATGTCTGTGCAGTAGCAATCTTGAGTATACTGTTCAGGTGTGTATTCGTAAAGCTGCAAACCTACTTTTGATTTATTGACAATGATTACAAAAATCTCATGCTCAGTGTTCCTAGCCTAGGATCCAGGGGAAAACATGAAATGGCTGGGGCACTGCACCCTCTTGTACATAAGTTGCTTCATGTGCTAGTCAAGAACATGAGAAGGCATCCTAACACAGACTGCGGGCCATGTGTTTGTCTACAAAACTGTACTCTTCCCCAGAGAAATAATTACAACTTCCTACAAAGGGGGTGAACTTGGTCTGGACACACACTCTCAGTCTAATCCACCTCACTGGCTTGTTGTTATTCCTTCTCTTAAAATAGTTCACATTACTTTCTTACTGAGAAAGACTGGATCATGAGGGCATGAATATATTGAAAAGGGGGAGGGAACCCAGTTGCACCCAGGAGAGCCCTGGCATAAGAAGCCCAACAAAACACACACACACACTCTACCAAGGCACACAAACGCTCATATCTCGAACAAAAATTTGTTGGTCTTAAAGGTGCTTGGTATTCCTCCCATGCAACTGAGGCAGCCCAGCAAAGCAAACTCTCCCTCATTCCCTCCCTGGCTTCAGGGAGGAGCCTCAGCCAGGGAAAGGAAAGAAAGGCTTCCTTCCCTTTTCGCCTGCAGCCTGGCCAGGAAGCAAGCTCTGGCTGTTCCCTCTCTCCCCCTGGGGGGAGGACCCTCAGCCAGTTCTTTACCAGACTCTCTCAATTGCACAGGAGAGTCTTGCCTATCTATCTCTCCTGTGTGATTCAGACTGGTAAAGCAAGCTGTAATATGGTAGCAGCAGCAGAACTGCAAATGGAAGTAGGAAACAGCCAGGGCCTTGTAGGCCCGAATTAACCTAAAAGATGACACTAGAGGTTCCAACAGTGCCACTGCCTCACCGGGATGTGTGGGTGGAGTGCCAGAAGGATGAGACCATCACTGTCCTCAACCAGAGCCCTCTCTGCCTTACAGGCCCTGTGGAACTGCATCAGGTCCCGCAGGGCAGGGATGTTGCTCGGCAGAGAGTTTCACCAGGTTGGAGCCAGGGCAGAAAATGTCCTAGCTCTGCTTGAGGAGAACAGCCAAATATCCCTTGAGCTGGGCACCACCAATAGGTTCTGATCTACTGAGTGCAGCACTCTACTGGGGATATACTAGGAGAGGTGGCCCCGAATCATTAAGAGATTTTAAGATCAGCACAAAAAGCCTGAACTTGATGTGGTACTCCACGAGAAGCCAGTGCATCTCACACAGCACAGGGTGAATATGTGTTGTATACATGGACCCATGCTGCTGCATTCTGCACCAGTTGGTGTTTCCAGGTCAGCCTCAAGGGTAGGCCCACGTAGAATGAGCTACAGTACTCTAATCTGGAGGTGACCATTGCATGGATTACTGTGGCCAGATCAGGGCAAGGTAGGCAGGGAGCCAGTTGCCTGACCTGGTTCGGTTAGAAAAATGTCAGTCTGGCAACATTAGTGACCTGGGCTTCCATTGTTAAGGAGGTATCCAGAATCACACCCAAGCGCCTGTCGGTCGGTGCTGGTCTTAATGGCACACAGCTGGCTCCCCAAACCTGAATCCCCCTGCCCTAGCCACAGAACCCCTGTCTTGGAAGGATTCTGTCTCAGCCGACTCTGTTTCAACCATCCCACCACAGCCTCCAACCCTACGGCCAAGTTCACCAGGGTGGTATCTGGCCGCCTGCCCATCAATAGATAAAGCTGGGTGTCATCAGTGTACTGGTGGCAACTCAACCCAAAATTCTGCACCAGCTGGGCAAGGGGTGTCGATGTTAAGAGGTGCACAAGAGGGGGACCCGCATCCAGAATCACACCCAAGCGCCTGTCGGTCGGTGCTGGTCTTAATGGCACACAGTCAAGGGCTGGGAGCTGGCTCCCCAAACCTGAATCCCCCTGCCCTAGCCACAGAACCCCTGTCTTGGAAGGATTCTGTCTCAGCCGACTCTGTTTCAACCTTCCCACCACAGCCTCCAACCCTACGGCCAAGTTCACCAGGGTGGTATCTGGCCGCCTGCCCATCAATAGATAAAGCTGGGTGTCATCAGTGTACTGGTGGCAACTCAGCCCAAAATTCTGCACCAGCTGGGCAAGGGGTGCATGTATATGTTAACATCAGAGAGAGGATTGCCCCAAGGGACCCCACATACTAAGGGATACGTACATGACATCCTCCCTCTCAGCACCACTCTCTGTCCCCAACCTTGGAGGAATGAAGGGAGCCCGAAACTCCTATGTCGGTGAGGCAGTGGGTAAGAAGATCATGGCTGACTGTGTCGAATGCTGCTGTAAGATCCAACTATAACAGCAGCACCAACCAGCTTTGATCCAGCTGTTTATGGAACTTGTCTGTGAGGGCAACCAATGCCATCTCCATTCCGTGGCTGGGGCAGAAGCCAAACTGGAATGGGTCCAGGACCGATGTGTCTTCCAGGAAACTCTGGAGTTGTCCTCAATTACTTTACCCAGAAACAAAAGATTCGAGAGTGGGCGGTAACTGGAAGGATCCAAAGAGTCCAAAGTTGGCTTCTTTAAGAGCCGTACGACCACAGCCTCTTTTAAGCCCTCTGGGCAGACCCTGAAATCCAGGGACAGATTGATAATGTCTACCAGGGGGCCCCATATTCCCTCACCACTGGCTTTCACAAGCCATGAGGGACACAGATCCAAGAGGCATATATTGTCCAGGATCCTGTCGACATTGGTCTGGGAGACTTGGCTGAAGTGTGAAGTATTCAGACAGCCAAGGAGCCTCCAGTTCACATACTGTATCAATATTAACCAGGAGGTCATGGTGCAGCAACAATACTTTCTCTGCAAAAAAAAAGCTTGCAAAAGCCTCAAAACTACTGGCCGAATTCCTAATACTTTGGGTTCTCTTGGTGAGAGAAATTAAAGATCTAATGACCCTAAATGATGGGCTGGGGAAGAGCTAGCAGATGCAATGGAAGCTGTATAGAACTTCTTAATAGCATTCACCGCCACCTCATAGGATTTCATAAACATCCTATAAGATGTTCTTGCAGCTTCATTGCAAATTTGTCGCCAAACTTGTTCTAGTCGTCTAAGTTCCCGTTTCATCCCCGAGTTCCGAAGTGTACCGGGGGATAATTTAGGCTACGAGTGTAAAGGACATTGGAGGCGATTTCGTTGATGGCTTCAGAGAGATGAGAGTTCCAGTCCTCTATCAGCTCATCTAATGAATCACTGGGGGTTATCAGATCTTGCAGAGCATTCTGGAAACCAATTGGGTCCATTAGTCTCCGCAGGTAAGCATAAATCCAATCACCACCCACAGGAGGGGAATGGGATACTCAACCAGGCCTTCAGAGCAAAATGATCTGACCATGGCACTTCATCTCTAGAAATCTGATCCATACCCATTGCATCCCAAAGATCAAGTTCAGCATGTGGCCTGATATAATCTGGGAGAGTCCTAGTACTGCCATGGAAGACACCAGGTCCGAGGCCTGCGAGGGATGTTGAAGTCCCCCAGTACTACTAGCCTTGGGAACTCCAACGCCCAGCCTGCTACCACCTCGAGCAAGCTCAGAAGGCTGTCTGCCAGGGTGGTAGGTGGTTGGTACACCAGACAGACAGCCATACTCTCTCCAGTATCCAACGCCAAGTCTACACAATTGATACTGGCGATCTTTGGAACGGGGAGTGCCCTGAAGGAAAAACCCTCTCATAAATAATGGAGGACTGAGAAGCCTGGTGGGGTCAGTTCTTTTAAGGCAACACTTTTGCCCTCCTGGGTCTTGATCATGCATGCCATGTCCACATCATGTACTGCAAAATTATTTTGCAGTGTCGCTGTCTTGTTATTAATGGACCTGACATTGCACAACATCAGTGTCAAAGGAGGATTTACTTTCCTAGCCCCCTAGCCAATGTGTCTCGGGATGGGACAAAGGTTGGAAGGACACTGAGTGTAACCATATTTCTATCTCCTTCCATTCCAAGACCTTCTCCCACCACCATACCTCCCTCTACCCCCAATCACTGGGATCCCCAGTGCAGAACAGGCACTCCCATTATCAACTGGAGCCATGAGATTCTCTTCTCCCTCCCCACACTCATGAAACAACAGCAGATTACAATATGCCCTAAATGCATTATAATTTTAACAAATTGAACAAATATAATTTAACAAATTATAATTACAATTACAACAGCTCTAGCAACTAACTGAAATTTTTTAAAAGTACAATATACCTAACCCTGCCTTAACCAAACAAGCAACTCCATCTCGCTATATCAGACGAAACTTCCCTCTCTAATCTAGTTTCAACCCCCTCCTCCCAACAGCATTCCCAATAAATACTAATATGCTCTCTAGTTGGTAACACAATAGCACTAAAAAAATCAAAGCCCTCTAAAATTAATACTATAGTTCTGGAGGAGTAGGGTTCTGCGGCCCTAATCCCCAAGGAGCCGGGATATGATGATTCCCTGTGCCTGACTCTAGAAGGATCTGCAATTCTTTCTTGGAGCCCCAGATCGGCCTCAGCTGTTCTAGGGGCTCTGTTTTCGGGCACAGTCTGTTCTCAGGGGGCTCACTGTGCAAATGATCCACGGCTATACTACGCCCACGCTCGGTAAGTCTAAGCTCCATGGCGATGATAAACGGGGCTTCCATTTAACACGGCCCTGATCCACCCGGTCAGGTCACTCAGTCACAGCCGAAGATTCCAGAGGGCACCTAGCCCACAGGCTGGGCACACCAAACTGGGGGTTCCACGTCCGTAAATCCTGGCCACCGTCGGGGGCAAGCAAGCAAGACCGCTCGGAGGCCGCCAGTGCCGAGCCAGGGCCTTCCAGCTACCGCCAGAACCTGCGGAGATCGCACAAGGCCGTCCGAGGCCTCCCAAAGCAGCCCAAACTTCTTCCACGATCCTTCGGAGCCATCTCCGCTCCACCCACGGTCCTCCTCCTTCACCCTCCTTCCTCCTCCAGATCTCATCCATTCCCATCCCACACCGGGGAAGACGTGCTGAATTGTCTCCGCGCCGTTCCTCCCCACACAGACCTACGAATGTTCTCCACGAGCCGCTTACCAGGTGCCCTCCCCGCCATCTTGACCTCCGAGAAACACCCGCGCGATGCCTTTCGGGTAAATTCACGGGCTCCCGCTGGTCACATGTTCGACCCATGTCGCTCACGTGACGCTTAGCGGAGGCTAGTTTTTTTTATATAGACAGCACGCCATCGTCCGGAGGCGGGACTTCCGGTTTATTTTGGCCACCTTTTAAACTATTTCGCTTCCGGGGTAGAAGTAACGGGAGCTGCTAGCAGAGAACCAAGCTAGGATTTCCGTGTCACCTTGATTGAAGCCCTCCCTCATCCCAATTAACCCATGAAAAAGGACTTTACGAGAGAACATCTTCCTCACGAAACGACCTGAGTGGGATTTTTAAAACTATTGCGGACAGAGAAGTGAAGAAGTCCTGCAAAGTAGGCCTGTGGGAAGAGGAGGGAAGGCTGAGAGAGAATGTGCTCTTTGGATATTCTGAAATGTCCTAATGTGTTAACACTGCGGTTCCCGAGTGGAAGAGCACCTTACAAGCTAGTGAACCAAACAACTATACAAGCTAGTGCAGTGTGTAGTGTATTACATACTCAGGAGTATCTAATGGGATGTTGCCCCTGTTGCACATTAAACCCGCATATTAATAGGACCTAGAAATGCTGCCAGATAGTTAAACCCCACCTCATAGCTGATCATATTATCTAGGGCCGTTTTAGATTTTTGAGCAAGACCCACCAAAAACGTTCTCCTGTAAATCATTATCCTTCAAAACCCCTTCCAATCCAAAGCCAGCACTCAGCTGAATGCAGGTGTGTTGTGCACCCCCCCAACAGTGTAAAGCAGAGATCACAAATCAAACAAGAACTGAGGAAGCCTGTATCACTCCAATTCCAACCTTGCTTTTGGGGATTCAAAATCATGCAGTCCACACAGCGAAGAACCAGATTGACAAGCATACCCTTTCCTCCCCAGAAAGCATGTCAGAAATGCCAAATTGCAGTATGTTTTTTTCCAACTTGCTAACTTTTTTGGATATGTGACTATAGTTGTATATTTGTAATTATCATTGCTAGAAAAACCTTTTTGGTAGTGTTTCCTATAATTGCTATTGTGGGCATATTATGTTTTTTTTTAATTTTGTGATTACAAAGATTTTTTCCTCAAATTTGTAGTTCTTGGAAGTCCATTCAGTATTATTTTCCATAGATTCTATAATCATTCTTAGACCTCTGGTACTTAGTATCCCTTTTTTCTATAAGGAAACTGAGTCCAATTATTGTACTCATCTAAACCACTAAAACAGGCATAGCTGCAATTACACAAATTAGACAGATATGCCAGGTCTGCCTCACAGCAATAGTTCAGATGTAATTTTGTTTTACTGTCACATATTTCTTACCTGAATTTATACCAAGAGAAGTGGCTCAAAGGCCACAAAGAATCTTTAGAACAGTGAACAATAGCCCACCCCACGAAACCCCCCCCCCCCCAGTAGATAAGATACTTCTGCTAATAGCAATGACCAAGTAACTTGGACAGCATTTCTGATCCTTCTCAGGTGGGCAGGAGGAGTTCCCAGCTTGGGCTCTAGCATTAATAGAGAGAAATCTTCAGGACCTATCCTCTGAATTAAAATGAGGGTGCATATAGAGGCTATAAGTACGCTAGTGTTTCTGAAGACAGGCATAGCTGCAATTACACAAATTAGATAGATATGCCAGGTCTGCCTCACAGCAATAGTTCAGATGTAATTTTGTTTTACTGTCACATATTTCTTACCTGAATTTATACCAAGAGAAGTGGCTCAAAGGCCACAAAGAATCTTTAGAACAGTGAACAAACAAATAATCCCAGGCCTGCCAATTCTGCAAAGCACAATGTTGCCTGTAAATCCATTTCCAGAGATGGTGATTGACTTTGGCTTAGTGATCATCTTCCAGTGCAACAGCAAATTTTTTTTGACAATCAGGCATCACGTCACAACTCATACTGCACACAAATATAGTGCTGGTAGGATCTTATCTCCAGGCCTGCCAATTCTGCAAAGCACAATGTTGCCTGTAAATCCATTTCCAGAGATGGTGATTGACTTTGGCTTAGTGATCATCTTCCAGTGCAACAGCAAAAAATTTTGACAATCAGGCATTACATCACAACTCATACTGCACAAATATAGTGCTGGTAGGATCTTATCCTGACAACTGCTTTGCTGGTACAATGATCCAGAGCAATGGTCCCCAACTCTTTTGAGCCTGTGGGCACCTTTGGAATTCTGACACAGCATGGTGGGCTCAGCCATAAAATGGCTGCTGCCTCCTTTAGTCAGATCATACAAATGCTTGTGCTGTGGTAGAACCTGCTGCCAGAATAATCCTTTTAAAATCTGCATAGCCAATCAAATTTCTAATGGTCAATCAAAAGCAAAAGCCCCACCTGGTCCCACCCATTTTCTAAGAACTGGCAGATGCGAGCAAAAGTATCAGCATTGAGGACCACGTTGGGGGTCCCCTGATCAAGAGAATCAAGCCAACACCCTACTGCTATGTCCCTCTTAAGCCAATTGAAATCAAAGGCCCTTCTGGTATCTGAGACTTCAGGAGACTCTCTATGTACTCCTAGCAACTATCAATACAAGAAACTACTGTTGTAAGCATAAAAGTTGACAGTCTGTACCAACACTTCAGGAATCTAGTTTTTGTGCTACACACCAAGTTTTTTGACTGTATACTGCAGCAAGCTGTGCAAAACATAATTGGCTGTGAGGTAGGATCCCTAAAACAGCAGAAAATGGTTGGGGGAAGTTGCCTGGATAGGTATGATAGTTCAGACAAAGCACAGCATGTTTAGGACAGGAAAATCTCAGCCACTGTTAACAATGATTTGGCACAGATCTGACATTGTTGCAATACGCTGGCCAAGTTTGACCAAACCAATTAAGAATGCGAAAAGATGCCAATAATTCCTTGTCTTATTGATTTGCAATGGCATATTTCTTGGTGCAATGTCACCACCTGTTGTTGCACCTGTCCTAGGTAAGCTCAGCACCTAGGCATGAGTCGTGGTCTCATGCTTCTAATCAGACAATACATTTTTTTAAGTGTAAAACTGGATCTCATTTTTATTCATTCAAGTGGCTTCATGAGTTATCAGTTTTTTTTGCTTCAAACCAGAAGTGAGAAAAACACCACATTTATTTTAATAACTTCCGAGTTGCTTTGAAAATGCTACTTTACAACGTTTTCAAAAATTTTTGGAAGTCTTCTGTGGATGTTTTGGCAACTTCTGTACAGAACATGTCATCAGGCAGGGCTACTAGCTTGTCCAAGGCGATGTAGCTGGGTTGCTTTGGATCATACTGTGCTCTTCCCAGGAATTTAAGAAACAAATGCCTTTCTTTGATTCGTAATAGCTTTGAATTAAAAACCTGCAAATTAAAAAAAACCCACAAATTTAAAGTTAACAAGTTTATATTGTTGAAGTAGAAAAACATATTTGCAAATTATTTTATAAAGCAGATAAGATTAATAACATTTTAAAATACAATAAAACACCTGCATATGTTGTATAAAACCAGAAACCTACATAATTTTGCCTATAGTAAAAAGTAAAGGTTCCCTTGTACTGGTCCCTTAAACCAAGTAACTTCTCGCTGTAACAACTGTGGTATAACAGGTGACATACAAGATTCTCACCTGAGGGAAATGAACAATGTTGCTGTGAGGAATGTCCATTACATTGTGCAAGTAATCAAATATCTGTGTGAGTTTCCTTTTGCTTATGCCCAAAGTTTTGGGGATTCTGTATACAATCTGCTGAATTTCATTCTGAGTAAAGCCAAGTTCAAGTTTATACACCTGAAAAGGAACAGTCACAATTAAATGTATTAATACACTTTGGAACACTTCAGGGATCTATTTTGGTGACATTAAAGACCTAAAATCAAATGGGGTGGGGGACTTTCTGATCCTTATATAGTAAACACCCAATAAAATTATAAAATGAAGCAAATTGCTTGTAAAATACTTTTTGTTCTACTTTTTTGACCAATATAATTAGTATTTATAGAATCTCAACTCGATTTTCACCTGAGCAGACATCTAGCACACTATTTTTACTGAACATGAAAAGCACGTTTTTAAAATCCACTGCTTGGGTCCAAGTCTTTAAAATGCCATTCACTGACCACAATGAAAGTGAAACCAGACATTTGTGAGCACTCTATTAATAATAGGATTCTCCTGCAAAAACCCACTGCAAATCATTGCAGCAAGCAGAAGTGCCTTCCGAAAACAGGCAAGAAAGCACTGGTTTTGAATTGGGATCCCAGCGTGCAGAGGAACTAGTGGCAGCCTCACTCCAGAATACTACCAAACAATTCTATAATGCTCATGCAGCAGCTCATTCTCATCCACACTCAAAAGAGTTAGAGCTGCTGCCTGCCATCCAAGAATGCGCCACACAGTTTATGTGCAGTGTAAAAACTAAAAAAAATTACCTTTTCACACTGGAATGGCTAAGGACTCCTAAAGCATGGTCTAACAATAGCAGACTTACCTTCAGATTTTCTTTAATAGGTTCAAGACTGCCAGTCAGTAACCTTGGAAGACGAGCTACTAAGTTTCTGGTCTGTAGTTTAAATAGAAGCCAAAAACGTTACTTAATACTGATCACTTCAACATCTCTTTAAGGTAAGATAAAACTGTTCTTAATCTTCTTTGCTGAATTATTTTCCTGCGTAGGGACTTTAGAAAGCATACTTTTTATTGAATGAACAAGGGACACTTGGGGGATGTGGAATGGCAGCCTGACCCTATCAGATCTTGGAAGCTAGGCAGGGGTGAGACTTGGCTAGGAAACCACCAAGGAACCGCTTGATGAATTGCTTGCCTTGAAAACCCTATAAGTTCACCATAAACTGACTGCAACTTGAAGGCACTTTACATACGTACAAGGGACACTTGACAGCTGACACTTTTCCCTATGCTGTGTAAATATTTTTCCTACACAGAGTAATACCCATCATATATAAAGATACTGGGTACTTTAATGCAATTATATGCGCATACCACTTCCAAACATGCAGCAAAATAAATACCCGTGCCATATCAGGACATGGTTTTCCTTCTATTCAGTGAGGGCTTATGAATAGGTCATTGTCTGTCAGGCTGTTTCCACATGGAGATTATTCTCCACATAGCTCCTGCTGTGTCATGCAAAGGCGCCTCTGCCGTGGCAATGGAGGATCCACATGGGAGTTCCCCTGTACCTTCCTTGCTGCAGCCCATTATGGCTGCTATTCCTCCCCTCCCCATGCCTCTGGAAGGCTTTTGAAAAATAAATAAATAACTCCATTGTGATCTGCTGCAACAATGTACTAGCTCCCAGCTTTTATGTAAAAAAAGTCTCCAGCCCTTTTTGCTGCAAAGCTATAAGGGGAAAATGTGCAGCCTGTACCTAACTCTGCAGTGAATCTGTCAATTACCATTTTTTGAAGCCTGAAAAAAGCACTCAAAAGTGTGCTGGGGGGGGGGAATTTGTGAGGGATGATGTAAGGCAAATGTAAATGGGACCTGCAACATAAACACCTTTTCATCCAAAGGCATATAGACTGATCTTTTCAAAAATATATCCTACCAGGTTTGGGAAAGATCCCAGTAAAGTGGGATATCATGGAAAAGGACAGAGGATGTCATTATGTGGGTGTGCGCTCCAAAAAACCAACACTGCAGTAAGGAAGCAATGGAAGTGCAGAACGTCTGTGTGAAAGCAGCCTCAGTTTCAGTACCACTTCACACAAATGTTTTCCCTATATGGCTATTACATATGCACAAGGTAGGGGCCTGTGAGGGATCATGGCATGTATGTGTGGGGGGAAATAGCCAATGGAGTTATTATCTCCTGATTGTGCAATAGCATGAGCCTCCTGAGCTCCCTAAATGAGTTGCTCCCTTTTTACCTAATCTGGAGCATCAGCAGTCCAAAGCTACAGAACAAATTCTTCACTATGCTGAACTTTGAAATTTGGTAAGTAGGAACCTGCTCAGCTTACTCCAAACTTGTTAGGTTCAAAGGTGGCACAGCCTTAAAAGCGTGTAGTATCAGAAGATGAGGGAATATTAAGCATGTTCCCTCTTCCAGGATATTTAAAACTCTTAGGAGCTTGATCAGGCCAATTGCACCACTGATTTCCCTTCTGTTTCCCTCAATATTAACAACTCTCAACAGTCCAAAACCCCTTGGTGGACAAAGAGACAGTTTCTCTTCAATGCATTGTTTTGTTTTTTAATTTGTAAGCAAGTATTCTTTTGTACGCCCACGCCCCCCGGGTCTCTGCTAGGTCTGTGGTGGTTGCAGTTCATCACCCTCCTGATAGGCATGGGGCTATCAAGTTAACTTTAGGAGGAACAAGAAGAAAAATTGTGACTGCGCAGCATGTACATGACTTCCATTCGTTCCAAGAGGGATTAAGCAGGGCTCCTCCTCAGCAGTCTGTACCCTGTGTTTGCTGGTCTGCCATTTCCAGACCTTCATTCATTTGAAATTCTAAGTCAGGGCATTCTCTTGTAATACCCGTTTTACTCCATAGCACAGAAAAAAATTCTTTGAGCATAGAAACTAAACATCCAAATGTTCAGGATGCCTTTTGGCCATCTGGATGAACAAGGCTGCATTGTCTTCCTAGCCTCAAATACTGTTTTAAGATGACAGGCTTCAGAGGCCATGCTTTTTGTCACTGCATTGGTAAGGATTCCTGCTACCTGCTTGTCGACCTTGTTTTGTTCCTCATGAATTCAACCCCACCCCCGCGTTTGGAAATCTTTAAAGGAGATCACCAAAATAACCCAAGTGGAAGAATAAGGTACCTTTCTCACATGCAATCCAAGTTCTTTTTGAAAGAAACCCAGCCTATTATCCAGCCTTTCCACAGAGAAGAGAAGTAAATATGGAGCCTGTGAGACAAGTCGTGCAATTGCTTCCTTGCTGAATTTTTTGGATCTTAGATAAGACACCCTGGAAGAGAAGAAGATAAATCCAAAGGATAATGAAGAAAATAAAACTGTCAACCCTTATCAAGCTGTGTCAATTCTTCAGCAGCGTCAATCAAATTGACAGATTTGAAATAATATTAATAAGCAAAGCTGCCAAAAGGAAGGGTGGAAAAGCCTGCAGGTATAACAAAAGCAAAAATCCATGCCCTAATGAGAAAGGAAAAATAAACATTCCAGCGCAAAACATTATGATTGTAATGATTTCCAGCTGTATTTAAATAAAAAAGTCAGTACCAACCTAGCTCAAAGAAATAATATTCCTATCCCTAAGGAAAACATTAAAACATGACTGCTTCTACAACTGAGAGTTGATTTTTAAATAAGAGACTTAAACAGCTGAAAGGTCTCTGTCTTTAAAAAAACAAAGTACCCAAGGCTACAATTCTAAAGAGCTGCATTTTCCTTGTTCCCAGTGCATGATTGTATTTAGCATGTTTATTTTAACATTTAATAACATTTAAAACATAATCCATGTCAATTTTATGCCCCAATAGCAACAAATGCCTGAACTTGAATACTTGATGTGGTTTATGTGTTACATTCAAACAAATTCAAAGCTTTTTGTGAACATTATTTTACTGGAATAATACCTGTAAAATTTAAACACAATACAGCATGTACTTTGCATACATTGTTTAAACTTAATAACTCCCCCCCAAAAGGCACGGGAAAATGTTGTCAGACTAATTTTAGCACACCAAAGAACTGGTGATCCCCCAGCCCTAAGGAAGTCTGGCTGTCCTCAACTAGGGTTAGGGCCTTCTTGGTCCTGGTCCCGACCTGGTGGAACTCTCTGCCAAATAACATCAGTTCCCTGCGCGGCTTGGTACAATTCCGCAGGGCCTGTAAGGCAGAGGTGTTCCATCAGGCTTTTAGTTGAGGGCAGCAACGGTTAAGACTGGCACTCTTTCTTTCTTTCCTATGACCCCCACGTGCCCTTCCCTGCTCTGCCACAAGGGACAGCAGTATAGCTGGCAAAGGGGGATTATATCGCCATCTTGGACTAGTTAATTTATTGATTTACTGTAATAATTCTATTTATATTGATTGTATTTTAAATGTTTGTAAGGATGTAAATCACCCAGAGCCTGCTTGCAGGGTGGGCGATTCATAAGTTTAATTAATAATAATACACGATATGCAATGGATGTGGTTTTCCACACATCTGTGTCAACAGAATTTAATTTTCATCTCAGGATGCCACTGGGGCACCTTATCATTTGCATTACTAGTTTGTTCCATGTCAGATTGGTGATTATTATATCCCTTCCTCCTCTTACATGGCTATGTCTAAATAATTTTAATTTTAGCATTAGCTTTAGCTTTGATTTGGTTAGCATTAATAACCTGCTTTTTTCCCTTTGAGTTAGCACAAATGTTTGTGATTTTATTCCCCCCAACCCCAGGGTTTACAAATCAATAAAACATACATGACCTCATAGAAATTCAAGGAATAATCACCTGGAAAAAAATTAATTACAACTTTGAAACTGCAAAGCTTGTTTTATATTGTATTAGCAATGGCATCCATCCATTCTTATAAATTTTATGAAACAATCTTCAGAAATGGAAATTTTTCCATGGAAAATTTTCTGTCTAGTGTGCTATAGCGGTTAAGAGCGGCAGACTCTAATCTCGAAAACCGGGTTTGATTCCCCACTCCTCCACATGTAGCCAGCTGGCTGACCTTGGGTCAGTCACAGTTCTCCCAGAACTCTCTCAGGCCCAACTACCTCACAGGGTGTCTGTTGTGGGGAGAGGAAGGGAAGGCCATTGTAAACCACTCAGACTCCGTCAGGTAGTGAAGAGCGGGGTATAAAAACCAACCTTCATAGGATATTTCCTCAAAGTAAACATCACACTATTACTACGAACCATTTTGTAGATGCTCCTGGTCTAATTACCATGGTTTGTGGGCATAGTGTTAAACTCAGACCTCAAAAAAACAGCCCTAAATCCCAGTTGATTATGGGTAGCCTTTGGCAAGCAATTATCTCCACGCCATTTTTGTTGTTCAGTCGCACAGTTGAGTCCGACTCTTCGCGACCCCGTGGACCAGATCACAGGATTGACTGATTTGATCTTTTTGCAGTCCAAGGGACTCTCAAGAGTCTTCTCCAGCACCATAGTTCAAAAGAATCTATTCTTCGGCGCTCGGCCTTCCTTATAGTCCAACTCTCACAGCCATACATGACTACTGGGAATACCATTGCTTTGACCATGCGGACTTTTGTTGGCAGGGTGATGTCTCTACTTTTTATCATGCTGTTTAGGTTCGCCATCGCTTTCCTCCCAAGGAGCAGGCGTCTTTTAATTTCATGGCTGCTGTCACAGTCTGCGGTGATCTGGGATCCCAGGAACGTGAAGTCTGTCACTACTTCCACGACTTCCCCTTCTATTTGCCAAGGAGTGATGGGGCCGGATGCCATGATTTAGTTTTTTTGATGTTGAGCTTCAAGCCCACTTTTGCGCTCTCCTCTTTTATCCTGAGCAAGAGGCTCTTTAGGTCCTCTTCACTTTCTGCCATCAGAGTGGTATCATCTGCATATCTGAGGTTATTGATCTTTTCCTCAGCAATCTTAATTCCCGCTTGTGATTCATCCAGGCCAGCATTTCGCATGATGTACTCTGCATACAAATTAAATAAGCAAGGTGACAATACACATCCTTGTCATACTCCTTTCCCTATGCTAAACCAATCAGTTGTTCCATATCCGGTTCTAACTGTTGCTTCTTGATCCTTATACAGGTTTCTCAGGAGACATGTGAGGTGGTCTGGTACTCCCATCTCTTTAAGAACCAGCCATAGTTTATTGTGATCCACGCAATCAAAGGCTTTAGCATAGTCAATGAAGCAGAAGTAGATGTTTTTCTGGTACTCTCTTGCTTTCTCCATAATCCAGCGAATGTTGGCAATTTGATCTCTAGTTCCTCTACCTCTTCGAAACCCAGCTTGTACTTCTGGCAGTTCTCTATCCATGTACTGTTGGAGCCTAGCTTGTAGGATCTTGAGCATGACCTTACTAGCATGTGAAATTAGTGCAATTGTGCGATAGTTTGAACATTCCTTGGCATTGCCCTTCTTTGGGATTGGAATGTATACTGACCTTTTCCAATCCTATGGCCACTGTTGTGTTTTCCAAATTTCTCTACATCATACTTCTAGTTAAGAAGTGCCCTCCTGGCTGAGAGCAATTGTCCATCTAATCCAGCATCCTGTTCTGCACAACAACCAATCAGATGCCTGGGAGCACCAAACAGGGCACAGAGGCCTTCCCCTAATGTCGTCTCCTAGCCCTGGTATTCAGACGTTCACTGTCTTTGCACGTTGAAGTACCCAGTAGTCATCTTGGCCAGTAACTATTGATGGACCTCTCCTCCTACCATGATACAGCAGGAGTCATGAAGAACCAACTACTGGGAAGAGGAATAATGAGAAAATAACATTTTCTTGCCTTCATTGACTGTGAGTCTTAGGAAAAGGAGAAACTATAAACAACATTCCAATCTGTTTTCAATTAAAAAGTACAAACCTCCACAATTATGCAAAAACAGATGGCAAACAGTTTTTTCTCGGTCCCTGTCTTTACCCAATATTGAAATAATTTCAGTTTTGGTTTGAACACATCAGGTAAATGCTCTTATTCTTTCCCACTCCATTGCTAGACAACAGCAAGCGATCCTTCATTAAGAACAAAAGCATGTTAACAACACTAGCTTATGCATCAGCAATATTTCAAAATAAACACTTGTCCTGAAGCTGCCGTATGGATATTTTGCAACTGTCAGAACAGTTAGGAGTATTGGACTGCTGAGTTTGCAGTGCTTATCTCAAGTAATAAATGCCATATTTATTGAAATGGATGTTGTGTTCTCTGGCAGTGAGGATCCAAAGCAGCAAGACATTCCAGGCAGCGAAGCTGCCCATATTGTCTCAATCTGTGCAGGAGTGTTTAGGCACAGATAATTTATCTGTATCCCATTTCCAAGCTGCACCCCTCAGAGTGCACCCCTATGATGACATGTATACAACATGTAAATAATTCTGACATTAATCAAATTCTGTAAGAGAAAAGCCCTCCAGCACATTACGATTCTTTCCAGCTGGAGCCCTTTGTTCCTCTGAGGACCTGATCACCACTTATTTAAGGCAGCATACAGCTTGTAAGATCCTTTGCTATTTTTTAGCAGGCTGGAAATTCAGTGCAATCAAATTGATACAGTCAAACCCACCCTAGGGGACAACTTTCTGATCTGGGAAGTGCTTTCAATAAAATGTTTGCAGTAGGTGTCATCTTGCAGTGTCAAGGAAACTGCACACTCAAGCAGTTGTGGCAATTTCCGTGTATGGCCTCTGTGAGGTTGTTGTCACCCACCTACCAAGCCAAACAATATGTCAGGCAACCTCTGTTTTCCTGGCTGTGCCATGTCCAACAGGCTCCAAGAACACTTCCAACAAAAGACTTGCAGCTTTTAAGTCTTCATGTAGCTGTTCCTACATCTGGTTCCATCCCCACAGGATGAATTTGAGTTTTCCTTCCTTGAGACAAACATCCATCAGCTTAAAACAGTTACATCAGCAAAGTTAAACTCCTTTCACACTTGCTGTGTTTAGAAAAGCACACACACACAAAATCCATGCTCAAATCTCATGAGTCACAATGTCTTGCAAATTTCCTTCCCTACCCTACCCTTAGGAAAGATCCCAAGAAAAACAAAAAGCAAAAATGATATATGCAAAATCTATGTTCATGCTGGACTCCATTTGGAAATAATCATACACAATAATGTACAGACACTGGCCTGTTTCTGGATAACATATGCTGCATTTGCTATACTGAACATTTAAGACTGTGGAACAGGATCATCAACAAGTCCCTCGCCCCCATAAAATTTTACTCCATATAGTTTGAGGAGACTGTGTATAAAACCCTTTTAGGATAGTAAAATATTTCAGGTGAAAAAAACCCCTGAATAATAAAGATCGCATTCTGTATGGTCAATATTTTTTATTGCTGTTTATAGAAGCCATTTTACCTGGTCTCTAGATCTTCCAGTTCTTCTCTGAGAATATAAGGGTTTTTAGTGAGAAATGCCCCAAGCTGATTATCTTCCACACCAACATCCTTAAGAAATAGAAGTATTTTTGTAATATCTTTTTCAAAGTCTAACTTCAGAAGAAGCTGAGCTGCAACTGGACGCTTTTCCACTTTAGACAAATCAACTCCTGCAATAAATTTATCAGAAAATACAGCTTGTCAACCTTTGGTTTGTTTATGACCCAAGTATTTGTAAGTAACACTGAACTTCGTGTACAGTTTCTTTCATGCATATTCTGGGCTGCAGCCAGCATTCTTTAGCTGCTAAAAATCAGCATATACGCTCAGAAGGAAAAAATCAAGACAAAGGTTTAACAATTCTATCCTACATTTGGTATAATAAAAGCAGTAAAAAGTCACAGCCAAATACTCTTTATCAATCACACCCAACTCTTCGAAGTGTAAAGGCATAATTTTCTTCAAGAATCTGGGAAAGGCCCTCAGCAATCTGGCACAGAGATTCCTGTTCAGAAAATCATTATTCTAAATTCTGCACACTTAAAATGAGATCTGATGCGAAGTTACTCCAGCCTAAACCCACTGATTTTTATGGTTTCCCAGTACACCCATAAATAATAAATCTACATTTATATCCAGGTTGACTTTACACAGCACTGCTATTTTTCCCCGTATCTTTCCCCAAAAATCTATCACTTTTGGGCATTCCCACCATAAGTGAGAGTACCACCCTTCTTTTGCATTACAGTGCCAGCAATTACGTTTCATCCCTTTTATCATATATGCCAGTTGTGCAGGGGTTCTGTACCACTTGCCGTGTGTACTCTCTGTTGCAAACAGCTTTAGATTACTGATCCTACTAAGTGGTACAGACAGCAGCTAAAACTGCAGCGGTTCCTATGATGCTACAGGTAACATCAGAAAGATCCGAAAGGGTGCTTCAGATGTTAATTGTTTTACCTGCAGGTATTTAAGGCCTGTGCCTTAAGTTCCAGGTATCTTTGGAAAGCTTAAATGTAACACTTTTATTCTTTATAAGAAGCCTTCTAGCAGAATGCTGCTGATCATCAGCACCCAACCATTCAAATATGATTCCTCCATACATCCCAACATATAGGTCTTAAAGTTCATGGATTCTTCGCACTTATGCAGAACGTGCCATAAAGTTGCTACTGACTCATGGTGACCCCCTCCACGAGGTGTTCCAAGCCAGAGAGTGAGTAGAGGTGGCTTGCCATTGCCTTCCTCTGCATTAACCACCCCGCTCTCTTCCTTTGTGGTCTCCTATCACCAACCCTGTCGCCAACCCTGCTTAGCTCCCAAGCTGCTGCTCATATTCATGAACATATGTCAAAAAGAGAAAAGTCGCTATAGTAATTAAAGGGGCTTCATACACTTGGAAAATGCAGTGGACGTCTCCACAGTGGTACAGCACCTTCCCTCATATTAAGGAAAACTTACATTTGAGAGCCAGGCAAGCACTAGACTATATTGTACCCAACATGCCTCGTTTCCTCCCCCCTACTTCTATCAGAGTACTATGCCTACGGAATTATAATTTGCTGCTAGAGATTCCAACACACACAGTGCCTACCCATACAGCTGTGCTTACCTAGAAGCACCAACTTCTGTAAAGTTTCTGAATGATCAACGTAATCCTGAAGTGTAAAAGACTCCAAAGGAACTGGTGGCTCAGCTACAATCTGAACGGCTTCATCTTCTGAAATCTCCTCCAAGGCGGATGAAGGCAATGACTCTTCCCATCCTGAAAGGTCTTAGAAGTGGGAGGAAAAAATGAAAATAAACTGAAAAAATGTATAAATACACCAATACACGAAAACATTATTTAGGGTGAACACCTCATTAGCAGTGTCAGTAGCTTTCTTCTGTTACGGGCTGTGAAATATATGCTGCCATCACTTATTAGCACTTATTAGCACCTATGTTTACTAGCACTTATGATTTTATATGTTGTGGTTTTATTTAAATTGTGTGTTTTAACATACCCTGCTGTTTGTTTATATACATACATACACACACACACTCTGTAAGCCGCCCTGAGCCTACCCTGGCGGGGAGGGTGGGATACAAGTTAAATAAACAAATACAAATAATAAATAAATACATTCAATTATCAGCTGAACAATTAGTCATGAGGGAAAGGAAATTTCAGGACAATGTGTTCAAGACATTCTGATCCTAGCCCTGCCACAGGCCAGGGATCCCATTCAGTATACCTTTCCGCACATTCGCTAATTTTAAGCACTTTTAGAATGTCAGAAATCACTTGACCAATGCACATATTACAAGATCAAACACTGGTTTCTGCTGCTCCTGGAACAAACTGCTTAACCCCCTGCTTCAGCTTGCTCCCCTCAAATGGCAGAGTGGGGAGAAGCAAGTTTGTCTTAACAGAAAGCAGAGGAAATGATCCCATTGAGGTACAGAAAGCAATTATGGCAGTTCTAAATTAGCATCAGCATAAGCAAAGGAATCCAAGGCTTTTATAAAAAAATGAGAGGTTATGAGAAGAAATAAGAGTTTGTGCATGTTACTGAAGAATGAACTGAGAAAGTGGTTAAAGCATCCTGGAATATCGTTTATAACCTTGGAAAATTTATTTAGAGACTTGAGGCAAAACACATAAATTAAGGAATCAACCTAAATACTACCAGTGTTTTCCTCTTTCCTACATTCCAATCTGGTGTTCTCAGAATACACGCAGCCATCCATTCTCTTGCTTGCCAAACAAAAGGTTTTAATTCCTCAAGTTATTGTCATGTTACAGGGGCAAAAATACCAATTACTTTACGTTTTCATAGGACTATTTGTAAGCTTTCACCAGCTGCTTTTAGCTTCACCTAAGTGTGACTTTTAACAGAAAAAGGAAAAAAATGTAGGTGATAAAACAGGCACAACACTGGCAGGTGCAGCCCTTGAGACAGATACTGCCTGATTATTGAGCAGTCCACTGGCAGGTGCAGCCCTTGAGACAGATATCGCCTGATTATTGAGCAGTCCTGTTCTGTCAAGTTACACACACAGGAAAATCATCCTTTTCATTAACATTAACACTCTTTAATCTCTTGCCATAGACTGCAGATATAGGATTCCAGTGGAGCCTTGCAGACACCATTCCCTAACCACACTATGGAAGTTAATTTTATTGATTACAACAGATCTTATGTCCAAGTATATGGCTCTGAACTGAATGTACAACTAATTAACTGATCCCAGACTAATTAACTGATCCCAGAGGATACCAAACTATCAGGGAGGCAACAATACAAAAAAAACCCCAAACAAAACCAATTCAACTGATAAAGCATTACTAATATTAACTCTAGCACCATCAGGTGGCTTGCAGAAGGTCCCAAGATCAATTCCCAGCATCTCCAATTAAAGGATCAGATAGCAGATGATATGAAAGACCTCTACGTGAGACTCTAGAGAGCTGCTGCCAGTACGAGTAGACAATATGGACCTTGATTAACTGATGGTCTGATTCAGTATAAAGCAGCTTCAGCTGCATATGCATGATCCCAAGGAGTGAAGACTGAATTAAACCCAAATTTACAAAGCTCTGTTGCTACAGAGCAGTTAGCCAGAAAGCTTCCCTTTTGTCACTCAAACCACACAGACGGTACTGTTCAGACAGCACTCCCAGCCTCTCGACAAGGGATCCCAGTGGGGCATAAGGAAGAAGATCTTGTGGGCAACAAGCTGAAATCGTTAAAGGTAGTATAGTTCAAAACCAGCATTTGAATTGTGGCAAACAGGCAATAGAAGCCACAGGAGAGCCTGCAGCACTTATATTGCTTTGCAGCAATCCATTCTACCAGGTACTATGGCAGATATTTTATATATCATTTTCTTTTTACTCTGTCCTTCTTCCAAGGAGCTCTGGACAGCATACTTGCTCCACCCTCCAGTTATCTTCACAGCCAACCTGTGCAGCAATTAGGCTTAGAGAGAGCAGCTGGGCCCCAAGGAACAGGAGATTTATACCTGGATCTTCCCAGGCTAAATACTGTACTGTGGCCACTACACCACACTGGCTCTCATCAGAGGTACAATCACTCTTCCTTTAAAGTATTTACAAATCTTCATAACTGCAACTGGATCACTAGGCTTCAATCCAAAAAAGGGTTTCTATGGATGGAAGGATTTTCATCTGCAGGGTAAAACTTTCTTACCTCCCCCCTCTCCCCACAGCCTAATGCCTGAAAATACATGATTCAGTCCTCAGGCAACAATGAATCTCTAACACAAGGCTCTAGAAATGTTTGAACCCACCAAGTAAAGACAATTCAACCATGCCAAGCCCTTTTTATTAACAGAAAGAGTAATGAGATTTCAATCAGAATTTCAGATAGAGTGTTATGAGAATCCCCACTCCAGAAGTTCTTCATATATATATATTTCATTCATTACCTACCATCATCCAATGCTTCGGAGTCAGAACTTGATCTTGGTTCAGTTTGTTTATAAATTAGAGAAAGTGAATTATTTTCATGACTTTGATTTAGGGCAGTGCTTGAACTGCAGAATCTTATGAGGCTATCAAAAAGAGGAGTTCTAGAGTTCTTCAGTACTGGTTGATGGAAATGTCTGTAATGCCACAACAATGGCAAACCTGGTTGCTTTAGAGGAAGTGTCCATGTTTTGATCAATTGTCTTCCGACTTTTCTACTGTCCACAATGTTGCCTTTCTTCAGCAAGCAATAGCATCTGGATATCTGTTGAGTTAACAAAGCCATCTTACAACGATATTCTGTAATAAAAGATAATTGAAGAGAAATGTTTATTGTGCTCAAGGAAGACCGTACAGAAAAAACCACAGTACTGAAGGAAAACTGAAGAGCATGTAGTATCATTCTGCAGTGTTATTCAGTTTCCAACTGAGCACAGTTCTGAAGCAATAACTGACATTCTGCAGCCTAAGTATAGTAACATTGGAGATACAGAAACAATATAACCTTAATAAGATGCTTCAAGAATATTTTAAGATGTTTGTCTGTAGCAACAGAAAAGAGCAAGAGTCCAGTAGCACCTTAAAGACTAACAAAGTTTGTGGCAGGGTATGAGCTTTTGTGAGTCACTGCTCACTTCTTCAAACTGCTCAGAAAATCAGAAACAAAACCTTCCCAAACAACCAAGTCTTTTTGATAACAAATTTACCACTTTGTAAGTTTTTGTGACCCAAATTAGCACATACTCCAGAAGCTTAATTACAACATAATACATGTGTTAGTTCTGAACCTATCGTAACAGTCTTGTTTTGTTTGTAGCAGGGTAACATAGCTACCACTCTTGGTAAGTCAACATCTGTAGTTTGACAGGAAATCATTACCGTGATTGAGGCCTAAATTAGCAGGAAGTTTGACACTAATTCAGCACTACTTTCATACAGGAGTCTCCCTGCGAAGTTCCTTTACTGAAGAACAATCGCTTTCAAGTCAGCAGCAGAACATCCTGGAGACTCCGTCTCAGTGATTTCTGAACACTGCCATTTTTTATATCAGTTGTATGTCTTTTTATTATTTTGCAGCAAGACTGACCAGCTCAGTGAGTGTAGGGAATACACTGAACTGGAGGATGAGCAAGTAAATGAGTTGCTGATAGCATGGCTGACGTAATGGCACTCACTGAGCAGGATTCAAGGCCAGATTTTGCAACAGGATTTGTTAAAGAACTAGTTTTCCTATGAAGTGGCCTGTTGTGGCTATAGAGTAGTGGTTTTAGATTAGGGGACTATCTGTAAGCAAGCACTTGGGTGTAGACAATGGATTGCATAGTATACTCTGGGTAGTGTGAAGGTAAGAATAGATGGATTTCTGATATAAAATGGTGCTCTCGTCATTTATTTATTTATTTATCCCAATTTATACCCCGCACTCACAAACCCCTAACCTCCGGCACTGGCACCAACTGCACCCATTGAAGGTCAGGAGTGGGATCCCTACCCCCAGACCGCCCCGACTCAGGCACAGGGCCTCCGTCTTCATCAGATTCAAGTGAAACCAGCTCAGTCTAAGCCAACCAGCCACAGCTTGCAACGCCTGGTCCAGATCTTCCAGTGTAGAGTCAGACTGGCCGCCCAACAACAGATAGAGGTGGGTATCATCCACAGACTGGTGACACCCAAGCCCATGCCTTCGGGCAATCTGGGCAAGGGGGTGCATATAGATGTTAAATAGCATCGGGGAGAGTACCGCTCCCTGGGGTACTCCACAAGTCAACGGATACTTCCAGGACAGCTGTCCCCAGCCCTGAAGGAAGGATGCGAGCCATTGTAAGGCAAGCCCCTGAACTCCATTGTCAGTTAGGTGATGGATCAGTAGCTGATGGTCGACCGTGTCGAACGCCACCAACAGGTCCAACAGCAACAGCACTGCCGATCTGCCTTGATCCAGATGCCTCCGAAGATCATACACGAGGGCGACCAGTGCTGTCTCCATCCTGTGTCCCGGGTGGAAGCCAGACTGGAAGGGGTCTAAGATGGAAGTGTCATCCAAAAAACTCTGTAGCTGGACTGCTGCAGCCCTCTCAGTTAACTTGCCCAAATAGGGCATGTTGGAAACTGGTCTATAGTTAGCCAATTCGGCTGGATCCAAAGATGGTTTTTTCAAGAGGGGACGAACCACGGCCTCCTTCAGTGACCCAGGGAACAAGCCCTCTGAGAGGGACTTATTAATAATCTCCCTTAGGGCACCTCGAAACCCCTCGTGACCCACTTTATCTGTGAAATAGCTCGCAAAGGCCAATTCCCTAGCGTTTGACCTGCCTTGTGGCAGAGTCATGACTCATCATAGACCAAATCGTTCTAAATAACTGGGCTGGGCGTAAGCTTGCAGAGACAATCAAGGCTGTGCAGCACTCTTTCTTTGCAGCCTTGACTGCCATCTCATAGGATCTCATAAACTTCCTATAAGATGCTCTTGTAGCTTCGTTGTGGGCACGCTGCCACTGTCTCCCTAGCCATCTTAGCTCTCGCTTCATCAGCCGCAACTCCTAGGTGTACCAGGGTGCCAGCTTGGTCTGGGAGCGCTGAGGGTGTCAGGGAGCGATCTCGTTGATGGCTGCAGAGAGTTGGTTGTGCTAGTCCTCCACAAGCTCATCTAATGAACTGCCAGGGGGCACTGGATCCCACAGAGCCATCTGAAGCCATGTTGGGTCCATTTGGCTCTGCGGGCAAGCTAAAATATGCTCGCCGCCTAAACAGGGTCGGGGTGAAACATCCAAACGGGCCCTCAGGGCAGGGTGGCCCGGCCATGGCACTGCCAAAGCAGTGATCCAGTCCATTGTAGCCCCCGCTGCGAAGATCAGATTGAGCATGTGTCCGGCCCAGTGAGTGGGAGTTGTTACATACTGGGAGAGACATAGTGCCGCCATGGTTGGCACCAGGTCCGCCGCCTTAGTGAAGGCCGCATCATCGGTTCTGGCCCAGTGAGTGGGAGTCATTACATACTGGGAGAGACGTAGTGCCACCATGGACGACACCAGGTCCGCCGCCTCAGTGAAGGCCGCATCGTCGGTATGGACATTGAAGCTGCCCAAGACTATCAGCCTAGGGTTTTTCCAATGTCCAGCCTGACACAGCCTCCATCAGGGACAGCAGGCTATTGGCTGGTGCAAATCGCCAAACTCTCCCCAGCTTCCCACACTAGGCCAGCACACTCTATGCCCGTGATCCTTGAAGGGGGTTATTTGTCCTAGCCCTGCTGGCAGCAACCCTCAGGATGGGACGTAGGCTGGATGGGGGCCGAGCTACTCTGCTTCTCCGTCCCCTTCCTTTGTCTCCCTGCCTAGTCCCACTGCTGTACTTTCCCCTCCCCAAAAGCACTGGTATCCCTTGCTCTGCCATCATTGCTCCTAGTGGTCTTCGCAAGGCACAGACCACTAAGAGAGCTGGTAGATGCAACGCCTAAGTATGCTACCCGTATAGTCTACAATTCCCAACACTGCTGGTCCACAGTTACCCAACCTTTCCTACTAAACCTACTCCAATAATTGATTGTCCAATTTCCAAATCCACTGGCCAGTGGCCTAAATAAAGGCCAGGGAAATAATAGTTGTTGGGTTTTTTTACATAGTTGTACATTATGAAACAGGTTTCTTGAAAGTAAACCTGTTACTTAAATGTGGTCAGTTTGATGCTGGAAGCAAAAAATAATAATTTTAGAGACATGAACTGAGGAAAAGTAGCCCTAAATCAGTTATGAATATGCTGACATGGTGCAGAGCCATGCAGTACTAATAACCTGAAGAAACCGTCCTTCTCTCCAAATCAAAGTAATTGTGAAAGATGACAAAGTTGTGAAGGGTGTGTACTCTCATCAAGGATAATATTTCTGATAGTCTGTAAATAAGGCTGGTAGATGAGGTAAGAGTTTGGGATGTGAAGAGTATAGGATGTGGTTCAGTGGTTGAGCATTAGCTTGGCATGCAGAAGATCCCAGGTTCAATCCCCAGCATCTCCAGTTAAAAAGATCTGGCAGTAGGTGATGTGAAAGGCCTCTACGTGAGACTGTGGAGAGCTGTTGCCAGTCTGAGTAGACAATACTGACTTTGATGGACCAAGGGTCTGATTCAGTATGAGGCAGCTCCATGTGTCCATGTGAACATCCTGACAATTTCCCATGACACTTTATTGATATGAAAGTCACCGCTATTCCACAAAAGAACTTCAAAGAGAAACTCTGAATTTAAATTTTTGATTTAGAATTTATTAGATTTGATATTCTTCATTTAGGCCTCTGTTACAAGAATGGTTTCCTCTGATTTTGTGAACGTTCATGATGCTTACCTGCTAAGCAACTCTCAAACAGAAAAAAGTGTCATAGAAAGTTAGAAATGTTTGATTAACTACTAGTTTTTTATCTTTGTAATTGGAGCCTACCATTGTCCTTTCTTCTAACTAAAGGCTCAAGATGCAACCTAATCTATATATCTAATAGCCAAGTTGCCCCCGTGAGTGCGGATC